ATCGCGTGCGATCGCGTTTCCTTGCCGCCCGACAGGGCAACAAGGAATTGGTGGACTTATCCAAGATATGCGCACACTCATTGCCGGGATGGCAGCAGATCCCCTTCCGGAGGCGGTCACAGCGACCGTCTTTATGGAAAGCCTCCTCACTGGCGTGGCCAGAATGGAAGTCTTCCATGTGCATTCATCTTTGTTTGAAGAGGCGGTTAATGTGGCATTGAACGCCGAGTTCAATTTCAAGTCGGCACGACTTGGATGGAATACACACTTCAACAACTCGTCGAGCGGGCTTATTCCGATGGATCCTAGTTATGCTGAGGACGAGTGGAGCAGAGCTCCGAGCTGCCGGGCAGCATACAAACACACGACGGTGTTCTATCTGTGGGGACACACGTCATCTTCGGAGCGGTTACCCCCTGTACAAAGCGCATCAAGGTTCTTCGAACCATCGTTCCAATGCCCACCAGTCTGGTTTGTCGCGGGGAAACGACACCACCCAGTAGGCGCGGACGATCTACTGGGGATGATCTGAGTTCTGTTGAGCCTCTGGGAGGTAGAGGTCAACAGGGTTCAGCCCCGAAGAGCTTCGTACTCTTGAACACGGAACTTGCATGCAAGCTGGGCTTGCTGGTCGTGGAGGCGACCGTGAAGGGCTTGAAGAAGCCATGGAAGATCCTCATCAATTCCGAGACCTCGAGCAATTATGCTCGACGTTCCACGACGAAAGGAAGTCAGCTATATGCTGAGGCGCTGAAAGCGCGGTTGGGTGGCATCATCACTGTTCGCCTAGCGACGGTGACATGTGTCGCGGTCCCGAAGGTCCCTGTGGACCTCAGGGTCAAGTTTCTTGACTTGGATAGGCTGAAACGCTGTTTAGTCTTAGACTTGGATACAAGGTATGACCTCATCCTAGAAATGGCATGGTTGAAACACCATGAGCCATGGATTGATTGGAGGTCAAAGACCTTCGGCGCTACGCGCACGTCCCCCGGTGGAGCTTTGGGAAGTCGTATACCCACCACTGCTAGGAGACAACAGCGCTATTGGCGAGAGCACTGGACTGAGAGGGTCAACGTGCTGGGCATTGGAATGTCAGAGTTAATAGTCACCAACGGTGTATTGGACAGGAGTCCTGAGCGTGGCTCGCGAGCTGATCGTGGAGTGGCACGTAACCCACTGAGCGCTGCTCAAGTTTCGGAGCAGTCGCTGCATGTCATGCATGACATGGTCGGCCAGAGGCCGAGGCATCGAGGGCGAGGCTCCCGTGATGCACGTAAAGTGGCACGTAAACCACTGAGCACTGCTCTCGTTGCGAAGCAGTCGCTGCATGCCATTGATGGCGTGGCGGACAGAGTCCGAGGCATCTTGGGCACGGCCCTTCAGATGTGCGTGGAGTGGCACGTCATTTACTGGACGAACACTGCGGGGTTAGCAGCTCTTCGTCGGATGTTGTAGATAACATCGAAGATCCAAAGGAGCGGACAGTGAGGGTAACACCGGACGACGCCAAATACAA